GCGGCCTCGCCCCGCCCCGCCGTGACGCGCGGCCGCGGGGGCGGGGCCGGCCTCATTTGCATGGCCCAATGACGGGGCGCGCATGCTAATGAGCGCGGCGCGGATTGGGCGGGCGGAGGCGGGGTGTGGCGCGCGGGGCGCGCGCGGTGCCAGTTGGCGGCGGGACGCGGAGCGGCGCGGACGTGCGGGCCATGACGCTCGAGGAGCTGCCGGGCGAGCGCGGCGCCGCCGGCAGGTAGGGCCGGCACGGCACGGCACGGCACGGCACGGCACGGCACGGGGGGGACAGGGGCACGGGGGGGCCGCACCGGGCCGGGCCTGAGCGCCGCTGTCCCGCTCGGCAGGATGGAGGCGGCGGGCGACGCGCTGGAGGAGGTGCTGAACAACGCGCTGAGCCAGCGGAGCGTCACCATCGGCGTCTACGAGGCGGCCAAGCTGCTCAACGTGTGAGTGCGGCGGCCGCGTCCCCCACCCCGCGCCTCCTTATCCCCCTGCCCTCGCCTGGAGGGCCGCTCGTGTCGCGTGTGCCCCGCAGGGCGGCGGACAGCGTGGTGCTGTGCCTGCTGGCGGCCGACGAGGAGGACGGGCGCGACGTGGCCCTGCAGATCCACTTCACGCTGCTGCAGGCCTTCTGCTGCGAGAACGACATCAACATCCTGCGCGTGAGCAACCCGGCGCGCCTGGCGCAGCTGCTGCGCGCCGCCGCCGCGCCGCCCGCCGACCTGCACTGCGTCCTGGTCACGGTGAGCCCCGCGCGCCGGCGCCCCGCGCCCCAAACACCGCCCTCCGCTAACCCCCCTTTCCCCCCCAGCACCCCTACGCGTCGCAGTGGAAGGACCCGGCGCTGAGCCAGCTGCTCTGCTTCTGCCGCGAGAGTCGCTACATGGATCAGTGGGTGCCCGTGATTAACCTGCCCGAGCGGTGAGCGCAGCGCCACGGGAAGCCGCCGAACACGATTGCACTGAAGTTTTGAAATGCTTTAGCCGTTGCTCAGGAAGTAACTCCCTGCCCTGGCACAAGGATTACAGGAGAAAACAAAACAAAATTAAATTTAAAAAAAAAAAAAACCACCAAAAAAAACACAAAACTGAAGTCAAGTGGGGTAGACTGCGCTCGATCTACGTCTTGTGTGGGACTGAAGGAAAAAGAAAAACGCGACTCCGCAGCTGGAAGCGATGGGAATGAACACGGAAGCGAAGCTGGAGGAGCGGCCGGTGCTGCTGACGGGACAGGGACCTGCCCCGGCGGAGACACCGCGTGGTCGAGCTGCCTGCAGCACCTGACACCCTTAATAGGTTTTAAAGTGCAACTTGAGTTTCTGGTTTAAATACCTTAACTGCAAAAGAGGGAAAAGGTTAATCAAAACATTTTTACACGCAATTTTATTGTATTTTGGGATGTTAATTCTCAAGTTTTATATGCTAATATAATAAGTTATTTTATGATATTGATGGAAAAATTATTTATGCTACAAGCTTTTGGAACCAGAACACCCTTAAGCAGTTGGTCTACAACCACACCACTCGTTTTAACGCTCAGACGTTTTAAATACATCTCTATGAATTACAAATGTTTGAAATTGGATAGTGTTTTGGGATTTTTTTTGAAATAAAAAAATTCAACCTCAGTTCTGCTGTCCTGTTTTATTTCCTCACACGGTTGAGCAGCACATGGTCGAAAGGGCTGCGTGCTGCACAGGCTGAGCAGGACAGGGCCTGGCACAGGGGGTTGCTCTGGGCCCTTTGCAGGATCATGAACTTGGAGCGTAGCTGCTGTTGGGCAGGAACTGCTGCTTGTTTTGCTTGTATTGCTGCCAGGTCTAGCGTGGATGGAGGCTGCAGCGCGGCTGGGGGCAGGTATCGCCCTGCCGCCCTCCTGCCCTTGCTCCTCYGTGCAAATCCGGGCGGCAGGAATGCTGTGCGCTTGCTCCCGGAAAAGCTGCTCCGCGGCCGGGCCGCAGCGCTCCCTGCCCGCCCAGCCGTGGCCGGGTGCTGCGGGAGCCGCGATGCCGCCGCGCGCTGTCCCTGCGGCCCCGAGGGAGGCTGCCGTGCCGGGAGCCGGCGCTGCCGCGCGCGGGGGCTGCGGTCGGAACGGGGGCTCCCGGCGCCGAGGGAGCGGGAGAACAGGCCGGGCCGGCACCTCCTGCGGCAGCGCTGCTGACCTACGTGCCCACATCCCCGCGGTGCCCGGGCTCTCCCTGCGCGTGCCCAGCGCGCGGCAGCGGCGAAACTGCTCCCGAGAGCGGACGGGGSCTTCAGCCGGCGCCGTGTCCCCCGCGGCACAAGCGACACCACCGGAGCAGCGCCCGGAGCGGCCCCGACGGCGCACGCACCTCTACCCCTGCACTGACAAACCTGGGACAAGCCTCCTTTCCTGGCTGCTAGCAAACATCAGAGCATTAACTCTGAATCCCCAAACGGCCTGGGAAGAGCAAGTTTTCAAGGGAGATGCCCTCGTTTTTGGRGAAAGCGAGAGGAGCAGCCTGAGCGCCCTTCGACCCGCAGCGCTATGGGGCTGTGCGGTGTCACCCTCAGCAACCACCCCAAGCACTCGAGCTTGGTTCAAACCGGTCCCCTTCCACTACTCCGTGTCGCTTCCCAGGGTCACTGGGAGCTTTTTATGTCTCTCCACGCAGGGACAAGACTGTTCCTGGAGAGGGAGGCTCTGCTCCAAAACAGGCAAATCGAAGAGCGATGTCAAAGGAAAAAAGAAGCAGCAAAGGCCCTAGATTCCCTGCTTCTGTTCAAATTAAGACTTTACCAAACTTTCAGCACCTATAGCCCAACTTCAGCAGAAATCTTTATGCTAAAACAAAAAATAAAGCAAAAAAAAAAAAAAAAAAAAAGGAAAGAAAAGAAAGGAAATGCAAAGACACAGAGCCCCAGCTGGATGCCCCATGGTGAGGGTTTTCCCCCATTTCTCTCCTCCTCGCACATCGGCACTGGGAAAGCAGAGCAGAATGAAGCGAGGAGCTGCGGACACCGGGAAAGTCGCAGCACGTTAACAGTGCAGGGTTTAGGGGGCRATGGGGCCGCCGCGGGACGCGATTCCTGCGAGACGAGCGGGTTTGGGAAGGGCCCTGCTCCCGGCAAAGGGCACCAGGCAAAAACACGGGCTCCCACGCCGCCCCGGACAGACAAACTGGACCATCCAGAGGCAAACACAAGCAGTAAGCTGCCATCTTAGTTTATGGTGAAAAAAAGTACAAATACATGTTCTGGAGTAGTATCAGGTTCAGCTTAGGTAACATGAAGATTAGAGGCGTCTGTCAGAGAGCACCAGGTCGCAGCTCTGCGGGGGGAAGCTCTTCCTTCCTGAAGCTTGTGACACCCGTGAGCTTCAATGGTTGCGTTTCTCCCGTCCCATTTTACTAATTAGAGTCCATCTTCCTTTAAAATTTTCCCAATTCCTCTTCTTTCCGTAGATGATTTATACCAGACGAGCAAAGTTGATGCACAAACGCAACTGCTTGAGCTTCCATGTACCCCTGCCTATTGCATTTTAAAATACATGGTTTACTTGAAAAATCTGTACAACCAAAGCCATGAGAAACCATCACCTTCGTGTTACCATTTAGCTGTCACCCAAGTGTCCTACCTACAAGTGAGAAAGCATCCGAAGGGGAACTGGCACCGTCTTTTTAAAGCTGCACCTGGGATTACAGATGCAATCGAGTCCTTTTGTTGCTCCAACAGATGAGAACCAACACAACGTGAGAATCAACACAAGAGATGCTCATAGAAATTCCCTATGTTGTAACAATGCTGTAACAATGTCAAAATCGCTTGAAAAAAAGTAGAAAAATACACTTAACAGTAAAGAGGTCCGAAGAAAATAATCATTAGATTTTCCTTTACAAACAGGCATACGCTGCAGCACAGCTTTAATGGGTCRTGAGCTCAGTACACGACCCGACTTGTGAGGGGTCTGGGGGCCACTGAGGTGCTTTGTGAGACCTTTCTAAGTAAGATCAGGCCCCCGGTGCCCCCCAAACTGCCAACAACTGCTTCTGCTTGGGGAGAATGAGCAGGATGGAGGCGCCTGGCTCCGGCAGCGGAGCCGCTGTGACAACACTCAAAAAACATCAGCCGTGGCACCAACTTCAGCTTGAAAAATGCTGGGAAGTTTTCCAAGATGGGAGTAACAGAGCAGAATGGCTGGGTTTGCCAGAAACCCTGCACTGGGAGTGCACAGCTCTGCTCCGCAGGGATTACTGGGATCTGGAATAACGAGGGGGATAACGGGAGATGGCCAAGCTCCGATGCAGGGGAAGTGTTGGCCAGAGGAGCGTTATCCAGCTGGATGATCCGAAACCAGCCCCTGGGCTGCTCCTTACAGAGGGGCAAGCGACAGAGAAACCCTTTTCTCCAGAGCACACACAGATCAGATGTGCTCAGGTCATCTGTGCAKMTGCACAGATGATTCTCATTTTCTGGAGCTCTACCTAAACAAAAATGCTGATCACTGCGGGGACAACGGGTTCACACAGGGTGTTYGGGGCAGAGGCCCCTGGCCCCGTGTGGACACTTGGGAACACGGCGACTCTGCTCCGCGCGGTCGCTCCTCCATACCCAGATGCAGCTAATTGCTATTTCTAACATGACGCGTCATAAAATGATAGACTCAAACACAGTAAATAAACCCAGTGTGAATCTACATTACTGTTTYGAAACTGTCACTAGAAAAATAGTCTAATTATAAAAATAATTTGAATGTCAGTACAGAATAAGCAGTACAATTTTCTTACTGTCAGTCATGTTTCTAGATTTTTGAGCTGCTTGTTAAAGAGGCTTATTAAAGAAAATATATAATTTCTCAATATATTATCAACAGTGTGTATATAATTTAATACAGAATTGACAAATATGCAACATAAGACGGTAAATTACAAGTGGTTAATAAATTCTGTAAAGACCATTACAGAAATGCAGATCTCCTGCTCAGCTTCCGAATCACTGGCTACAGAGAAAGACAAAATCCATTTGTAGCCATCTGAAGTCTCCATTATTGTCTCTCCCCTCAAAGTTTTCCATTAATATGCAATGTTTGTATAAATATTCCATTACAGTTTTTTTGTATATATATATATATATATATATATATATATGTACACACACACAAACCAAGACTTTTTAATATGTATATGTATAAAATCACTTACTTGATGGAAAGGCCACCAATTACATCTGCATAACCACAGTCTGGATACTATTTGGCATTTTTCCCCTTTAAAAAGAAACTTAAAAGAGCCAAATTCTGAATCTCTGCACAAAACATAGATGGGACTTACAGCAACAGTCTGCGTCAGCCACAGAGCAAGCGAAACACTCACCTGCAGCCTTCAATCCTTCTGTGGCTTATTTGTTTATTATTATTATGTTAATACTAAACAGATTCCAATTAGAGGAGAAAATGTAGAGAAGCAAACTTTGAAAATTCTGCTTTTTCAAGCCCTCTTATAAAAGAGAAAAAAATCATCGTAGACCTAATTCTTGACACTTTAGGTTTTGCATCTAGAAAACTCCACTGAGAGAGGCAAACAAACATAACCAAAGATAGATGCATGAATCTCTACAGTTTACCAACAGCTGCTACAACCATTTTCATTTTCAGGGTAGTTTTTGCTTGATAATTCACCTCAAACTGTGTATGTGCATAAATACACACAAGGATACCAGCAATAAGGGTGCGTACTCTCATCGCTGCATAGGAGGGCAATTAAAAAAGAAATAAGTGACGTYCAATCAGGATTCCAAACTTCTAACTGGCTGGTCTGTCAGCAAAGCTCAGGCAACTTTGGTCTTGTTTGTGTAACACAAAAACTTAAACATATTGTAGAAACACAGAGCCCACCTCGCCATGCTCCTCCTCACCCCGTGAGAGCCAGCGCAGCAGAACGCCCGGCTCTGTCCCAGAGACCCCATTCCACTCAACAAGAAAAGTTAATTCAATTTGAAACCTTGCTTCCTAGTAAAGATACGGAACAGAAGAACTGCTTTAAAAAGCTTAAGAAATCATTTGTACACATGGTAAAAGAAGAGCTGTTTTACACAGTTAATACCGGGTACCTTACAGATTATTTTTCTATACATCTGCCTGCATTTTGCTCGGGAGAGCTGTCGAGGTGCTGCTGCTCTCCTATAGTATAATACAGGTTTTCTTATCCTTGAAAGGGTTCTCGGAGGCAGGAATGCCCATCAGCAACGGATCCTTCTTGGCGTGTTCTTCGCAATAGAGCATGAGGTCTGCTGAGGCTTTGGACACCTGCAGGAGACAGGGGCAGGGGGAAAAGGGTGAGCCCAAGCGTCCTGCTCTTCAAGACACTGCAGGGTTCGGCAGTGCTAACACTCACCTCTCCCGTGGCATGGGCAGGTCACTGAAAATAAACAGGAGCTTTTTATCTCTAAAACAGGGGTTAGCATTTATAGACACATTCTCAGCCGACTGTTTCTAGAACACCAAGTTGGTTCCTTCAGCTGCATGACACCATCTATACCTAAAAATAATTACTATTGTTGTGTGACTTTGTAGGAGCCCCAACTACTTCTCTGAAGCAGTTTTATTCACCTCTGCAGCGCTGCACGGGAGCTGCCAAGCTGCAGGCTGGGTGCCGTGGAGATGTCTGAGCGTGGGCGCAGGGACACGCTGCCCGCTGCAGCCTCCCCAGCCGCGGGGAAATTGAGCAAAGCAGGACACAGGAGACGTCCTCTCACCTTTATTCTTTCTATTGAAGCTTCTATTCTCAGCTGCTGAACAGTCCGCCGGGCCTGCGCTATGTTATTGGTCGTGTTGGTCGTTTTGCCAGACATTTTCAGTTCAGTCTCGGAGCTCTGTTGGGAAAAACAACCGGTTACTTCCCTGAAAAGCAGCACAGCGCCTTGAACCGCTTTGGGGCAGAGAGACAACAGCAGCACACTGTAAAAAGTGTGTTTATGTTATTTTACCRAAGAAGACTTGTTAATCAATGGGGCAAGTGAGGGCTTGCAATCAAAACACTCCCTGGWAAAACTCTACCAAGCTCCTACGTGYCTTTTTCCCCCTCAAGCTGCCATGTACACATCCGCACCACACGCTCACTAGGAGCATTCCAGGAGGTGCCTTGGAAGCCACCACTCACTTGCAGGCGGGGAAGCTCCCACAGGGCCCGCGAGGGACTCTGCCCATCGGGCACGAGCAGAGGAGGGAGGACACGGAGGAGGAAGGGCCACCCACAGCGGGGATATCGGGATATCCTCCGCCCTCCTCCGCGCGCCCTCTGCCCGTATCTGGCGCTGCGGCGACGCTCCCGGCCCCRCGGCGCCGGAGCAGCAGCTGTGCAACGCGTGGGAGGGGGAAAGGGGAGGAAACAGCCAGGCAAAGTCCGGAGCGAGATTCCCGGCTGCTCCCTCTTCCCCAGGGCCATATATGGTGGCGCTGCACGAAAACCAAAGCAAGCAGCTCCGGGACTTTCCTTCCGCGGGCAGGAACTGGAAGCAGGAGGTGGGCTGGGATCCGCGGGGGTGGCCGAGGGGCTGCGGCCGGACGGCGGATCCCGATGGAAGTTGGGTGTTCCCAAAAGCAGCAGCTAGCCAGGGCTGTGCGCGGGGGGCTGTGTTCAGAGAAGCGAGACGGCTGCTCAGGAGGGGCCTGAATAACTGGGCATCACCTGAAACCTGCCTCCTGGAACGGGCATTAGAAACAGCCCCATGAATCTCTCTAATCTCGCTGGATCTGGACGGCAGTGGAGCAGCCACCTTGGTAGCTGCCAAGGGTTTAGCTCTGTGTCCTACTTCTCCTGTCCCTTTGCACGTGCCCCCGAGAGGAGGAGGAGACACAGCTCCGTTTCGGGGCTGCGAGGAGCCTGCAGGGCCGTGCAGGACGTGGCCCCTATGGTGCTCGCCACGGTCGCGCTGGGCCCTTCCGCGSTAACGTGTTCCAGAAAAGCCCCAGCAGGGCGGGCACGGCGCCCACACATTGTTCACCGCCGGGCCCGTGGAGGGGACCCGACACAAAAACAAAGGGRAAAAAAAAAAGCATCAACAGGATTTTTCCCCTGCAAAGCAGTTTCCACTGTTCCCTGCGTGATGCCACCCTAAACCAAGAGCCGTTCTCTCCCTCTGACAAGCGTTGACCCCTTCCCTGCCGCCCGGGACGCGGGGCGGAAAGCGGTGCCGGGAGGAGCAGGGCCGGGAGCCATCGCTGGGGGCTGGGGGCCTGAGCGGGCACTGATGGGGACGGCGAGGGCCGCGCGCGGGACAGGGCACGGGCTGCCCCACGTCCCGACGCAGCACCCTCAGCAAGCTGCCCCAAGGCACTCGCTCACAGAAAATGACATTATTCATATTTTGGGGGATTTAGCCCGTTAATASGGTGAAGGCAATGACTGCAAAGCTAACTGCGAGTTCCCACTTACTTGTCTGCATGCAGCAGGTCTAATGTGATAGTGTAGCCAAGGGACYGCAAGCCATGCGGATGGAACATGCCAGTGCCCCGATCCACTAATATTTGCATTACCCAGATATTAAAATGCATTGTGATAGGATATTCAGTGATGCAACCTGCACACTGCTCCAAAAAGGAGGAAAGCTGACTGACATGGAATAAACACATTTATCTGCAAAGAGCCATAAAGCTGTTGACAAGGCAATAGTGAGCGGCCGTGCAGCGCTCCTGCTGGGCAGGGATCCCCTGTTATCCCAGGGGTATGAGAGGATATCCCGGGGGTATCTGCACGGCACTGCTGCCTCGGCTCCAACAGAACTCAGAGGTGCAGCAAGGAAGCAGTTGCTAAGTCTTACAAGATGTGTTATACAGGGCACTATTCATTTCTGGGACATTTAACCCAACCATTTGGTGAGCTTCATTATTGCAAAGCTAATTGTTAAACTACAGCTCCTACAAAGGAGGTCGAAGCAGACGCAGCTTTTGCCCCCTCTGGTCAAGGCTTCCCACATTCACTGTGCGATGGGAGTGCTGCACGGTGAAGAATGGCTGGGTTTGCTGCAGCAGCCTCCTTCCACCACACAGAAATGGGATCTGTGGCCTGTCCTGCCCACATCCACCACACATTCAAGCCCACATTTCAACCAAGTATTGAGGCTCCTTGCACTGAAAGCAGACGACTGCAAGGGGAAACCAGCCACATCAGCACGTTGTTGGATGTGCTATTCCCTGTTCAACCCCAGCCTTAGTTCTGCACTCAGTTCACAAATGTCCCAGCTGGACCCTCACTGTCCACGTTGGTAAACAGGTAAAAGCCTGTTTTCATGGAAGAAAAATGGCCCYCGAGCCGCTTGCTCCGTGCAGTGCTGCAGCTTTACAAACGGCAGCAGCACGATGCTGCCAGGTAGCCCTGCAGGCAGAGCTCCCTAATCCCAGCGCTTCCTGGGGCCTCGCTCCGGGGGAGCAGCTGCCTGTCCTTCCCCCCGGGAAAGCAGCTGCCTGCAAAGCCCCTCTCCTGGGGGAGGGAACGTGCAGCTCCAAGCCCAGGCACTGCAGAGGCCACGGCCACCCACCCTGGGATGCCACACGGTACCTCCGACGGGAAACGGCAGCTGGAGATACGCGGTTCGGATGCAGGGRCTGGCGATTCCTCTGTTCCCAACTCCTCTTTTCCTTCTTTTTGCAGCGAGGGTGCAAGCGGCACGGAAAGGCGACCCTGCTCCTGGTCAACTGAAAGTCAGTTCACATGCACCAGAAGGGAGACCTGCAAATACAAAATAGGGTTGTTACAGCTCGAACTGTTAAGACAAGAAAATATGACAGATAAGAGAGTATTGGCCACTTTCAAAAATTTACTCTGAAAAAAAAAAAAAAAAAAGAATTAGGAAAAAGCTTCCCTTGCGGGGGGTTTATTTTGACTGGAACAGAAATACAAACAGACACAGAACTCGGGGCAGGAGCTCTGCGTTCACTGCTCTCCCTTCTCCTTCCACCTCAGCACAAAAGCAGGTCAAAACAGTTTCCATTTCTGTCAGGGATGGACTGAAAGTGCCGGATCCTGCTTTCACACACAGAGTAAACCCAGATGATCTACCACTTTATCAGAGAATCTTCATCCTTCAGGCCATCTGTAGAAAAAAAACGGCATTTCAAAGGACACAGGTCAAGACCAAGACTGTCCCTGCAAGAACCGGACTCTCAAAGCACAGGTCAAAAAGGAGGCTGACAAGCAGAGTCTGCAGACTGTGTGAGGCGGCTGCTGTAACGCGGCCACCCCAGGCTCGAAAGCAGCCTCCTGGGGGCTGCACGGAGCTGCTCCATAGGGATACACAGGCAGGATGGGTCCACCACAAAATGAACCCTGAATCTAACGTCAGACTCCACCATTGTCACTTATTGCACTGGRAAACTATGGAGCAAGGGAAAACAAATATTTTCATACAGTAATGCCTTAATTTCTAAGCAGTTTGTTCAATTTTTGCTGATACCCCTGACTTTAGTATTTTATTTTTAAGACATAAGTTTTAAAGATAAAGTATTCTCCTCTTGTTCACCAGGGCAAGTTCTGACCGACCTCCCTGGACCTTTCTCCTCCTCCTGCCAAGCCTTTTGTCACGGTAGAGATTCCAGCCACTCTGGAGTCCTCCACCGCACTAAGCAAATGACCTCGTTAAGAGAGTTTCCCTGCCTACTTCCCCAGCTGGTTATGTGGTTACATTTGTGAATAATTTATACATTAAAAAAAAAAAAAAAAGGCAAAAGCCAGGCTGCCAAGTTTTCTCTTCAGACAAACACAAGCAGCAGCACTTCAACAGTCCTCCTAAGATTACTAATTCTTTTCTACAAAGAGATTTAGCCAGCTCTAAACAACTAGGTCATCACTCAGTAACACTGCTCTCTCTCCCTGGTGCTGCTGGCAACCTCCCCTGTGGAACAGGCTGCTAGGGAGGTCTCAAGCTGCAGAATTTGTTGTGGGCTACCTCTGGTTTTAGACAACAGCAACGAGCTGAGTAAGACCTGCAGATGTGTGAGCAGAAGAGCTCCGTATCGTCGGCCTGCGCGCCCGGGTCTGGGAAATCACAGGGCATCTTATGGATCGAGGGAGCAGSCGCTTCTCCGTGGTCACCTACCCCTGCGCTACTTTCTCCTTTAAATGCATCAAAGACAAAGCTCCAGCAAGGTTCTCAATATCCATCCACATAAAGCAAGTGGATACCAATACTGCTGGCGTTAGTTCCCACTGTTCTGTGGCAGCGCCCAGACACAGAAGCAGTCAGGGACTCCCTGCACCTGCTGCTGCTGCGGATGCGGTGAGTGACAACGCTCGGCCCCCAAACTCTGCAGGACACATCAGAAGGAGACGCATGCGTACATACATACTATATATACATACAGACATATATATACACGAGGGTTTTGGAGGTCTGCATGAAAGCCCCAGGCACACAAGGTAGAGAAATGCTGGAAACACTCCTGACCACACACTTAGTGCTGGATCGAGCACAGCCTTGAGGAGAGCTCAGCACAGCAGACCCGGGCACAGCCACTTCTTGCACCAGGACACGGGCTGAGCCCTGGCAGCAACAGGGCTCAGCCCTGCAGTAACGATTGCAGCAGCTTTAATCATCCCTCTTCTGTCACAAGGAGACCAAGAATTTTAGTGGCTCAAAAAGGAAAATGAAAAAAAAAAAAAAAAACCCACAAAATGCACACACAAAAAGCAGTTCTTTCCAGAACTTGTCAAAAGTGAAACAAATCATTACCAGGACAGTACCAGTACCGGGAACCAGCAAAACCGCCTGCCCTTTCCAGGTATTTCAGACSTGCAGAAGCACATGCTGGGCTAAGACTCTTTAATTAACAGCAGAGTAAACAAATGAATGGGGAAACCGAACGAGCCGGTGGGAGGGCTTAGCCCAGCCTCTGGGGAACATACCTTCTCCTCCATGGAAAACCAAGGACTTGGGTTTGTTTAACAATGACCTTCAAAAGCGGGTGCTTGACAGACGCACTGGGCTGGGGAAAGGTTAAACCACCGAGAGGAGAAAAGGAAGAAATTTCTAACGTATTCATCATGCAACATGGAAGCTGGCCTTTTTCCTCCTGTCTGAAAAAAAATCCACAAGCAGGTGGGGCTTCCCCTATTCCCTAAAAGTCCCCACAGACCGATTTTAATAAGCTGCCCTATTTCTTCCTGCAGGCCTGAAGCACGCAGGTTAAAATGCTGCAAGTATTTGGAACAGCGGCCTCAGCAGGTACACAGCTGGGCACCAGAGCTGCGCTCCAGCTGGGATAATTAAAGACTAATCTATCTTTTTYACTCTTTCAGACAGGGCTCATGAGCCACCTGCTGAGCAAACTGTAATTAAATCAGGGCTGCTGAGGCGCGTGCAGGGCGGCACCGCGCTGCAAACAGCTGCTCACCCCGCGGCCCAAGCTGCACCGCGAGCCGCACAAAGGTTCAAAATAGCATCGTGTTACTATTTCTTTTGAAAGAGAACAGTTTAAATTGAATAACTCAGAAGTACAGAGCATTAGAGCAGATTAAACATAGCACGAAACGACAAAGCTAAAAATTATGGCATATAAAAGCACGCAAAATGCATTATGTAGGTTTAACGTCACCGTTCTGCGCCCGCACGGAGGGATCATCCCTTGGCACCCACTAGAAGCGGGGAGCAAAATTCACTGAGAAGTGCGTGTGGGGTTACAGAATTGCTGCTGCTGCCCACTGGATRTCACTAGGAAAGCCACAAACAAACACCACCACGTACGTTACTCTGCTCTCTCAAGCGCAGCGGTAGGAACAAAACAGTCCAGCAGATTGGCAGCCAGAAGCCCCAGACACCTCACCCAGACACTTCGCCTCACCCGCTGCCCTAAGGAAGAAGCAACCCCCTTTGGTGCGCCCAGACASCAAGGAGCAAGTGCAACCGCGGGGCCGGCAGGGCTGAGCACAAACCCGTGTCCAAAGAGGAGCTTCCAGCTCGGCCCGGGCTTCCCACCACATACACGGGCTACAAGTGGTCACCAGCAGCACTGAAACGGTGAAAAGCTGCGTGGGGAAGCAGCATTTGCACAACAGCAGATGAGATGCCAAGCCGGGCAGCTCCCAGCGGCTCCGAGCGCCGGGAGGCTCCCGTGCTCGCTCGCCCTTTCCCAGGCACCTGGGGGAAGCTGCGAGCTTGGCGGGGCTTCAAGCACAGSCCCGATTTGAATGCTGCCTCTCGCGGGGAAAGTCAGGACTCTTCTGCGCCGGGTTCGTCGTGACTTGCAGAAYATAAACCAGCCAGAAACCACAGGGGAGTCGGAGCCCGGAGCTGGGTGAGAAACGAAGCTCCCGCCTGCGCGGCGCCCCGCRGAGCGCAGCCGAGCACGTCAGCACGGAGACACCGCTGCACACATGCACTAAACACATCCCCATATTCCCTGGCTTTGGCTTTTAGGTCTTGAGGGAAGGGACTCTGCCCAAACCCTTGCTGCCAGCCAAACCRCCCAGCTCTCTGCTGGCGGTGCTTGAGGGTTACGCTGCCTCTTCTCAAGAGCTCAGAGCTCGATGAGTCCACGTCTGCACTCCGAGTGCTCCAGAAAGCCGGCCGCGAAGCACAGAGCTTCCCTTGCTGCCACACGGCAGGGATGCTCCAGCTCAGAGCCATGGGACAGCCTGAGYCGGTGGCTCGGGGGGCACTGCTGCCGTCCCGGCACCGCAGGGGTCCGGCCCTCCTTCCCCCAGGCCAGTCTCCCCTTCACTGAGCAGCGGGCTGGAGGACAGGGGGACCAGACTTTCTGCTCTTGGTCACTTCTCCAGATCTGTGAGGGCTGGGAGTGAGTCCGGGACACAGCAAAGGCTCCCTGCAGCAGCAGGGGTAGGAACCAAAGGAAACTTCTGCCCACCTACAACCCTACCTCTCCTCTGCAAGTGCCTCTTCCTCACCCGGCACTGACCACAAGGAATCTAGGTGTCCAGAGCTGAAAGAACAGGTAGGAGAAACCAAGGACTTTCTGATTAAGAAGGACAAACTCATCACTCCTCCAACTGGCTGCTTCCGGAGAAGGGAGCAATTCCCTCGGCAAATATCCCTTTTGCAGGCCCCGCTCCACCCCGGGAGGACGGGGCGGCTGCAGCGCTCGGCGGCCAGCCCGTGTCGGGCACAAGGGCAGCGCGGGCGCCGCGGCGGCCTCCCCTGCAGCGCGCGGCCGCAGTGACACCCAGTGGAAAGCGCCGCGAGGGAAGCGCGGCCGCCGCCGCCGCATGGGGTGCCAAAACCCCTCATGTGCCGCCCTAGGAAATACYAATAAAATCCGCTTGTCAGGGGACATTGGGAGCCTGCCCTCAGCAAGAAAACAGGATAAAAGCACTAAAATGAAACACGGATTCAAAGTGCCTTTTGGGCATTTTTTTCTTAGGATACTTAGAGCCATCCTGACACCTATCAGCAAGGAGAAATGAGAAGTCACAAGGAAGGAACGAGACTAAAAGACACTTTTGCACCTTACAGTGCCGAGCCCGCAATCTGTGGTAAAGGGTTCCTGGGAAGGAATGAATCCGGGGATGCGCTCGCCTCCTGCCACGGCCCCCCATCAAACGAGGGCCACAGTGACAAGCGGGAGTGCAGATGCGACAAGGAGACGGCTTTTAAGCCCTTAGCAAGCAGGATTTACAGCCACAGAATAGGTCATTCTATATAATTATGGTATGGGGGGGCTTTCATGTCTCAGTTCTGTTCAGTCTGTTTTGCCTCTTCTACGAATTGTGCCATATATTAGCAAGATATATATATATATCTCATGTATAATATTAACATATAACTGTGTTACAGAGAGACAGACAGCTTATATTTGAGAGCTGCTTGCACCGCATTGGAAGTACAGCAACAACTCTGCACATACACCTGCTACCCYTAGCAAGGGGGCCAGCAGGTACAGACCACCCTCAAAACACACAGCACACGTTTTGCTGCCTGCTCCTTTAGAGGATCTACAGTTGAGAATCATTATTGGAAATTAGAATCAATGCTGCCTGCTTCTTTTAATTTGTCTGTGTTCCAAAAATGCACGAAAGTCACCAATAATGTGAAATGAGGAAAAAAAAGAATAGCCAGGCTCTTGGGTTGCACTTCCCACTCCGAGCGTATAGTGCAGGACACTTTCCTCCATCAGCTCCAGCTCACAAAGCCCAACAGAACAGAAATCCCGCAGGCTGATGTTGAAGTCAGCCTCTCCCCGATATTTCTCAGGGAAAAATAGCATGTCTGGCTTTGCCAAACAATTTTGGTGGGGAAATACATACTGGAAAAACTTAACATTTATTTTCCTTCCTATTTTTAGTGATTACCTTTTATATCTTTAGTTGTAAGTGCAAGGCATGAAGCTGGCTTCCAAGTGAGTGAGTTTGAAAATGTTTTGAACAGTCCTATTTCAAAGACATGACCCTGAAGTCATGAGCAAAGCCCAATCCGTCCTCCCTACAAACCTGTGGCACAGATTTCCCAGAGGAGATACCTGCTTCTTTGCACGTGCCACTACCAGATTTAGTCCCAACAGGAAAGACAGACCAGCTACAGAGAGACATGTACAGAGAGACCTTTGGCTGCATCAAAACCAGTTCATCTGACAGCACGAGAAGCAGGAACGGTCTGTGATTAAAGCGCAAGACTGGGCGTCACGAGATGCAGCTTGGCCTCAGGTTATGTGACCTTCAGCAAATTCTTTAGCCTGAAAAAGAGATAAAACAGAGAGCTGGAGAGAGATACTTGGTAAAAAGCTCGATAGTTCTCGGCTCAAAATCACTAAGAGTGTGAGGGATTACAAACACTTCTTGGTTAGGTGAATTTACTGAGTATTTGTTTTATTTTAAGAAAGGGGCAGACATGGGACGAGCAACCTGGATTCTCAGATGCACGAGCAGTACCCACGTAGCTCCAGAGACACAGGAGCTACAAAGGCCTCCTTGTTAACAGCTGCAGCAAGAGGCTGCCTGCGTGGGCGACGAGGCCCCCCAGAGCTCCGAGAGCCTCGGAAAAGCAACTGCAAAGACCAAACTGGGCTCCTGGCTCCCGCACTGGGCCTCAGGAAGGTCGGCTGGTTGCACCGCCGGGAAGCAGCAGCAGCAGTCGCTGCTCCTGATGCTTCAGGCRACTGCAAACGGGCGCGGGTGCACCTGGAGAACCACCAAGAAGGGGGGCTGGCTGCTATTCCGGCTCGCTCCGATTTAGTTCGGAAGAACGAAACTTCCAAATTTCCAATCTAGTTTGGAGTTTAGTTCTGRAAAGGAGCAGAATAGAAACCAGTGGGCACATTACAGAGCAAGGGAGCCAAACCCTTGGTGTTTGTGCACAGAGTCCAATCACCGAGGTCCTTCCTCCAGGAAAAGCCCCCTTGCACACAGCTCCCAGCGGCCTCCGGCGGCCGCGGCTGAGCCCCTCGGTGGGCGACGCGATGCCGGGAGGAAGCTCTTCCTACCTCATCTCAAGGCCAATCCTCAATCTCCTGTGCTGAAAATCACTGGTGACTTACTGTAAGAACAAAGCTAGTTTCTAACAAGATAAGTGACTGAAAACGGCACGCTTTGCACAAGTTATCTCTTCTGGGTAAAAAGCTGTATGGGAAACATGCCTGGCTTGCTACAGGGGTTGCAAAATTAGAAGTCTGCCCCTAGGAAAATGCAAATAACCACCTTGCCTTTGAGATGCTCAAATATTGYGCACAGCTGGCTCACTCCCACTCTGCTTAGAAAAAAAGAGAGACTTTTAGGCTACAAGATTTATATATGGGTTAACAGCAAAAGACAACATCATTATGATCACCATACCACTGCAGCAAAGTTCATTCAAAATTAAATAAATACGCTAGAAATAGCAACTTTGTCAGTACACGGGCGTTGGGACAAGCCACTAAGAAGAGTCTCTCTGCGCGGGTGCACAGAGCGGCAGCGCCGCGCGCGGGCAGCACCGGCCACAGGCACCCCGAGGTGCCCACAGCCCCAAAACACCACCCAGACCCTGGCCAAGGCAGCCGCTCCTGCCCGGCGTTCCCAGGGATCACCAAGCACGGCTTCCTCCCTGCGACTTCAAAGCGCTGCTCCGGGCAAGCTACCAGCCCGCCCCTTTGCAGATGGAAAGAAACAGTCCTTGATTTGTTTCCAGGAAGTGAAATTACGGCTGCCTCAGTGTGTTGTCCTTCTGGAGCCCCTGTTCCCAAAGCAAAGGTCCCAAGGAGGCTTAGGGTGAATTTAAGAATTTAAAGGTGCCCCTTCTAGGAAATCTACTGACATCAACATGTGTCCAGGCAGTCAGGGCAAATCTTACCGGACCCGCGTTAAGCTGCAGTGCCAGCATAACCCACACTGGGAACACATTTCCCTTTATCTCCCCTAGATTTTTTCTATCATGTTAGTATCTATTAATATTTTCTAATAACTATGTTTTGAACCACATCAGAAAAATCTGACAGCCCCTGTTTTTTACTAAGAATATTTCACAGTCAGAAGTTTTCTTCAAATTTGGTCATTCTTAAAAAAATAACAGATTCCTGCTCTAGATGCACTTTACCAGATCCAAATAGGCAAATTTAGAGCATTTGGGAGCTGTATCAAATATCCTTCTAAAATTTTGATTAACCACTCATTGATCTTAAACTAAAATTATATGGCAATGATAGATCAAGGAGTGCAGCAATTTTGTAAGAGTTTTGATACGAATGAAAGTGGAATTAGGTGTCCGACACCTACAACCTCACACAGCTAATCATGGAAACGATAGATGAACACCTGAAAGGTTGTGAATGGCACATGCATTGAAAAACACGTCCAAAAGACAAACTAAGCTTCAGTTCTGATGAAGAGCAACACAGGTTTTTTTATTCSTTGCCCTTGATGCTGTTGATAACACAGCGGGTGAAAAAAATACCGGGTGACAGAAGTGCTGCTAAAGCAAGAGGAGGACGTTATCCACAAGGGAAGTTCCCTTTCTCTCTGGTCCCGCTGCTCGGACTCGGAGGACGTGCGTGTTCAGCACCTCTCCAGCAAGACACATTTAAAGGTTTAAAACCAGACTGCAGTCATTTAATGTGAACCACTCACTGATACGCTGACTTTTCCTATCATTTATAACAAAAGTTTTTATCTCTGTATACCCCTATCAAACCCTATACCCCCTTCCAAATACAGTGCAAAACACAGATTAAATGCACTGAGCATTTATGAAATCAACTGGGAAGATGGGAAACAGCAGACTCGCTAGGCAAGACGCGACCGCATCAGCACTGAAATTTTGGGAAGAAAACCTGCCACTGCAGGAATTCCTCTGCAATGAGGAAGGGCGTGAATTTAAAATGGGAATACTTGCTCCAGAACGGTGCCTTTCCTAGCCCAGGGCTAGTGCTCATGGCCAGTCTTCCTCCAGAAAGGCCCTGCTCCCTGCAGCACTTTCCAGCCTGGCATCGTATGGATTTGGCTTCTCCACTCGGGCACATCCTCAAAGGCAGCTCCAGCATCTAGGTGGCCAGAGGGGCATGGAAGCAAACACAGAGGCTGCATCAACCAGGCCAGGCTGAACCATCCCTGCTCTTGAGCCAGGCCCTAGCGTAAATCCTGCAAGTTCTGCAGCAACACAAACCAGATCCAGCGGCCAAGAAAACAGCAAGGCTTCCACACTGCCAGCCACTCTTTCTGCTTATTCCTYGGACCTAAAAGCCTTTCTGCTTTGGCCTGGATCTAAAAACACAACTGAAAAGATATTTTGGGATCTGTTCAACCTTAATCACAGTGACGACCAACAAAATGCAGAATATTTTACTTACAACAGCGTAAACTTTACATTTTTAGTAAACAATGARCTGGGTAGTTTAAAATATGTCCCAGAAAGCCAGTTTTCAACTCCAGAGGTTCCTAAGGGGCTGGTTTCTCCCACGAGATCTCCCTTTTGCACCATGCTGTTAGCAAGGGGGCTCTCCCTCTGGAAACAGAGCAGATTCACTCACTCCTGCAGCAGATTTTCTTGAGATACAGCAATAGCAGCTCGTCATGGTGCCTGTGTCAAAACCAAGGCAGCTGCAACACACAGCAAACATATTATGGGTCAAGTAGGTCCAGCAGGAAAGTCATCTGAAGACAAAAAAAAAAAAAAAAATCTCCTTATGGCACATTCACTGCAATAACAACGTCCAAAATGGGCCTCCTTTTCTATTACACAGAATAAACTTAGAGCAGAGATCCTACAGCGCTAGGGTAATTCGCCGTGGAGCTGCTAGACTAGCTGTACATCCAAGAAGCAATGAACAACTTGGGTTTTATTTAAAAATAGATTAAATGCTGGCTTTCTCACAAAGCATTTGAATAGGACAGCGCTCCATGTTATGTCAAGTTTTGTAAATAAACTATTCATTCTGTATCAGAAAGTTACCAGCAGCTAAGGGAGATATAAAGCAGGAACATTTTGGGGATAAGCATGCAGGAACACACAGGAAGTTACACAATGGCACTGCAAAAGAGCTTCCACAAAAACTTGGTTTTTCTAACGCAAATTATAACGCACAATTTCTTGCGCTTACCAGTGCCTTTCATATCCACTTGATTTCACTTTTAAAAACAGAAMGGGAATTTCCTTCTGGAAATACTCTGGCTATCCATCAAAATGACTAATGGCATAACAAAACCCATGCTTTTTGTTAACTTAGAAGGTACACAGTCATTTCAGGACTATCTTAGAACTGCAGACCGAATCAATCATTAAGGAGATTTAAGATCAAAGACCTAACAACACAGGATGCAAATCTAAACAAATCCAATTAGGGATAGATAGCTCAGGAAAYGCCTCTCTGGAGACTTAATACAGTATGAGCAGTTTGATAGTAAAGTTCGGCTCCATAAGCAATTAAAATTACTTGTCTGTGCAAAACACATCTCTGTAACATACATGAGATACCTGCTTGTGTACTAAACAGATGCTAACGCTGAACGTTGCTAATACCTGTTAATTGGTTGCGAGGGTCCTGTTTTGAGCATCAAGTCAGAGTTTCACGGTGTAGTTAGAACAGCCCGGCGATGGACACTTCTGACCACGCGGTCTAGAGCCCTCGTCCCCGCTCCCCTGCGATACCCGGCACACAAACTCGACAGGCTTCCACGGGCACCATGGAACAAAGACAGTTATCATAAAAAGAAAGGTTGCATTTTGGAAGTACAAAACTAGAGGCAGCACCAAGCGTTCCCAAGCCACAAAACCTCCCAGCTTATTGTCTGTGTTGCTCAAAAAAAGCATGCAAGGAAGGAAGTAACACTGTAGGTAATGACACACCTTGAGTATGGAAATACCTCGCSGGTCGGGCTGGTTTAAGGCTGGTGGCCTCCAACCTTCCACCCCTCTGTGCCCGGGTCATCGCAGTGGCTCCTGCCACGCTCCATGCTCACCRTTTTCCTGCTCCTCGCCTGCATTTGCCCTTTCTAACAGGTAACTTTTCCCCAGTTTTAACACCCATCTACACCACCTAGCTTTGGCTGTTTGCACTACCTATACTCTGCCCCTGCGCTCGCCCCTGAGGTCGGGATCTCTYTTCTTTGTTTCAAGCAAAGAAAAGCTCCCTCCCTGCCGATTAATCCTACTGCAATCCTTAAGAATAACACAGTCACCCTGCTACTATTTTATAATATAATTTGCAATATTTAACATCAGGTCCTATGTACATTTACCAGTGGCTTGGAGGCTGTAAAGCACATTGCCCG